AACGTTTCATCTGTTATTTTAAAGAAAAAAAAACATTTGTCTTCATAATCTGTCATCAGAATTAAATATCAAGATGCAAGTCAAAATAGTATTAATTAGTATTAGTTATTAATAATTAGTATTATTAGTCAAAATCAAAAATGACTATTTACGTCTTATTGTTATTTATGATTTATGAATCAAATAAAGCCCTGCACGTCATTTTGCTTTGATAAACTGTAGTTGTGAAGTGAAACGGCATGTGAATGAAGTTTCATGTTGATTTGAAATATGGCTGTCTTTTTTAAATTAAAATGATTTGGTTTGAAGGGAATGATTAACAAGCCACTTATGAAATTCCAGCTAATGAGATCTACTTCAAGCTTGACGAATTCCACAGCTAATTGACGTTATTTTTCTGACTTGTGGTGATTAATAGCGAGGGCCCCAAACAGGAAGTTCCTCCTGTCATGTGATGCTCCTCCCCTACAATAAACACAAGATGTTCTCATAGCGTCATGCATGTACATGTGAAACTGTGATGCTATGATGAGAAGAAGAAAAGACTGTTTGTGGTAAAAATCTGAATGTGTTTTCTAATGCGATGTTAGTTTTTATTGAGATAAAAGAAATCGAGTCTATAATAGAGCTATGTTAATCAGAGAGCAGTATTAGTGGTGTACTTCATGATGTTCCAGTCTGTGGTGTGTTTAATTCAGGCCCAGCAGCTCTGCGTGAGAATGTTTGTTTTGGAGATTAACCGGCGTAATCGACATTGAAGATGTGATATGTCAACTACCGCAGATTATCATACTCAACATCAGTTTAGCACTGCAGAAATGTTATGTATTTTAAAACCAATCACACAATCACAGAAAATTTTATTTTTTTAGGCGTTGCTCTTATGGATTCTCAGTTATTTATAAACATTGTCTGAAATGATTCTTCTTATATTTCTTTGGAGAAATAAAATAGACAATGCAGTTGTCATAGAGCAAGAGTATATATGGCTATAAAATGAACGTGGAGAGCATTGAATAGCTCGGATCATTTGATGAGATGCTTGAGTTCATAATGAGATATCTCACTTTTGATTGCAGACAAATCCGAGATCTCTTCTGAAACTTATTTGATATTTACTAGGGTCTTAGGAGAAACTTCTGAGATGCAGGAGGCTTCTGTTAAAATCTCCATTTGCTCTTAAAAATAATCAACAATAATTATATAATAAATTTTAACACATTTTCAGCTATATTTTACTTTAACGTTTTTAATCTATTTTATGAGAATGATTAAAAATCATTCAGAAAGAAATACACAAATATTTTATTATTTATTCATTCATTCAGCAGACTATAATTACCTCCTCATTTGCCTTATATTAATGAATTTTATTTATTAAATCACCATGTTAGAGTGAAATAGAGTATTAATACACTTATCATAATGTTAATATAATTAATGTTAACATTATTAAAATAAATGTACTATTGTATTATGGTTTTTAATATTATTTATGTTAATATAATTGTAAATATTAATAGCATTATTTTTATGTACTTTTATTATAATTAAGATTTTTTTCCCCCCTACATTAACCAATGATTTACTCATGGACGAGGATATTTTCAGCTATATTTTACTTTAACGTTTTTAATCTATTTTATGAGAATGATTAAAAATCATTCAGAAAGAAATACACAAATATTTTATTTATTATTTATTCATTCATTCAGCAGACTTTATAATTACCTCCTCATTTGCCTTATAATATTAATGAATTTTATTTATTAAATCACCATGTTAGAGTGAAATAGAGTATTAATACACTTATAATGTTAATATAATTAATGTTAACATTATTAAAATAAATTTACTATTGTATTATGGTTTTTAATATTATTTATGTTAATATAATTGTAAATATTAATAGCATTATTTTTATGTACTTTAATTATAATTAAGATTTTTTTTCCCCCTACATTAACCAATGATTTACTCATGGACGAGGATCTTCAGCAACATCCAAACACTTGAGACTCTAATTTATACACACACACACACACACACTGAGGGAGGTCTGCGATTAGGGCAGGCGTACAATGGGAGCCCGTCAAGTGCTCTTGTCGTGGTCAGTGTGGACTCAGAACTGTCCTGAACTGACAGCGGCACAGACTAAGAGGATAATGGGCTGGGAGTGAGGCGGGGACGGCGCTCTCTGTGTGTGCTGTCATGCCTGCGTTTCGATGTCTCTGTCGAGCCAGTCTGTCCTTCTGTCTCACTACCTCCATTAATCTTTTACTTTGTGCTGCAGCAGCGGGAGAAAACCTGCCTGACAGCTCGTCTGTGCGGCGAGAGGTTCGAGGAAAGAGCAACAGAAGGACGCTGATGGTCTGACGGAAATGAAACCCCCACCTTCAAACTGACTTATTCACACCTGTTTGCTCTCATAAACACCATATGATATGACGTTCTTACGTGTCAGAGACTAAACATGTTTTGCTAATTTTATTAAATTAACATGTCACAATATGACTTTATCCAATCTTGTAAATAATATAGTGCATGTCAGTTACATGAAAGAGTGATTTTTAGTACGAGATTTCAATCTGGCAACCCCATGTCTATCTCCATATCAGCGAGCGGAAGCTGCGGTCACGCCGTTAATGCCCGGTTCAGACTACACGATTTTAGCCCGATTTTGCCACGATTTGCTTGACGTAGGGT